GAGTTTAAACATAAATATAAAGGTATGTGTCAATCAAGATATATGCAAGAACAGGCTCAATGATTAATTACATGGACAATTGTGGGTGTGGTGTATGAATGTTAACACTTTGTAATAATTCTTTAGTATATTACTTGTGTGGTGTAGAAGATAATTATTTAAGAATGTAATTATGTAAGAATGTTAACACTCTGTTATAATTTTTTAGTATATTACTTGTGTGGTGTAGAAGAGAATTATTTATGTAGAGATACTGCTTGCAAACCAATGATGGTAAGATGTATGGTAATATGTATAGGTATGGTAAGTATGAGGTAGGACTGGATAAGTCTGACTTCTTCCTATTCCATTCAAGCATATACTAGGTATAAGCAAATTGATATTGGATTAGCATTTGTTGGATATGTGTAAAATTATGTGTGTTGACATAACTGTTTTTACATGCTTGAAAGAAAGAATAAATCAAATCAAATCAATTAGAAGTGTAATCAGTACTGTTATTACGTAACTACAGGCTTCAGGGGGTTTTGTATTATGCCTCTATTGTGTTGTCTACAGTAGCTGTGTCGTTTGCAGATAGCAGAAGTTGTACATTTGCCTGCTTTCAGCTTTGCTATCATTTATTACCTGAAGTTGATGGCAAGTGCAAACAGTTGCTAAGGTGATAATAGAGTTTTAGTGCTCTATTACGTTAATGCCATCACATCATCTTTTTGTGTTTCCTGTTTGCCAGGAATCTCTCTCTCATTCACACGATAGGGAACAAAAGCCTTGAGCAGGTAGATGTGGTCATTGCCTGACACAGAGCATAGCAGTTTCCAGGGTGAATAACAGTCCTGCACAACACCGGCTGCAGAATGCCTCATAACAGAGAGCAGATACAGTATATCATCATCAGATCCGGTAATACAGATGAGCAAACATGCAAACTCAAGGCGTCTGCACAACCACATTCAACTTCACTTAATTGTATGTTTACATTTGATGCTTCATCAGCATCACTAAGGTAAATGAGACACTGTTATGGTGGAGGCTAAAAGTGTCTGAAATGTTGTTACTGCATTGTACTTAAGTATGTGACTCTGCTCAGTAACTTTTATTACTGTAAATCCCAAATGTCCAAACATACCATGACTTTGGTCAATAAAGACAAACATAATAATGTTTTATACTTTGTGAAATAATTTATTTTATTTTTTTGGTATGTATAAAAGACAACAGTGAAATAAATATTATGAATATTTTATTATAAATTAAATTGCACAACTGGTAAAAATACAACAAATATATTACAGGAAAATAAATACTAATAAATACAAATTTATAAAATACCCAGCATGTCTGTTCACAAGCAGTGTACAAAACTGACAGAGGGACATCACAATCACAAAGTTTGCCAAAAGGAGAAAGTTCTTTTCCCACTTCTCCTGTCCAGCTGTTTGATTGTCACTCAGGCTGTTACACCTACTCTTGACTTTACAGTGCAAACCTCATCTGTATTCACACAACAGCCCACTTTAAGGAATCAACCTCCAACTTTTCTCTGGTTTCCTTTTTCCTTCAGTCTTTCCTTATCTTCAGAGAGATGATAGAATATGGCCATCCACTGCTGCTCCCTGTGTATTTGCACCAGCGTCCGGCTTCTAAGGCCATATCTTTCTTGCCTTCTCAACCCTTAAGGTGAACACTTAATCCTTCACTGGCACTTGGAGAGATTTCACACCTTCTTATCTTGCCAGGGCTGCTTGGTGGCCTTGGTGCTTGGTTTGGCTTGGCAAACTAGTTCCCTGTAGGCCGGAGAACGGAGGAAGCGAGGGTAGCAGTCTTTGGCCATGAGCATGTAGATCTTGTGCTGGGCCAGGTCAAAACAAGATGGTGAGGGGGCCAGCATATGTTCTTTGGTGATGTCACGGGTTTCGTGGTCAATGTTAATCTAGAATAAGGAATGAAAAGAGAGCATATTGGTTTGGGTATCTTTTTGTTAATTTTGAAGAAGATAGAGGCTATGAGGACAAAGGAGACATTTAAAGAGAAAGCTATTTTCTGGTGTGAAAGAAAGTGTCTTCAAAACCCATAATTTTTTGGGGAGATTTGCTGTTTTCCTACCTCCCGAGGAGCATTGCTGCCAATGAATTCATCATAGATCTTCTGGGCTTTAGCGGGTAGTTTGGCAAGAGACTTGGTGCTCCTGTAATCTTCGCAGGCAACGTAGAACGCAATGTTCTCCTCACTGAACTCAGATACCAGGAAGGCTGAGAAGGCATACAGTCCATCTGAAGAACGAGAGGAAATTACATTATAATCATCTCAGAGGGGCTGCATGTGTCTGCAAGTGTGTGTGCTCAGTACATGTTCACTGGCCTTTTTGTGCACTACTTTTTATGTGCTAATGTGTTAAAACAATGCAAACATCTAAATGTCTACTTACATTTGCTGGACAGGAGTTTTTCAAAGGACTCCTTCCACTGAAGGCACTCCTCCAGGCTTGGCCTGAAAACAGATGAAGCGTGATTAGATTTAACCTAGAATTTCAATCAAGCACATACGGACAATAAATATAAAATGAATTCAAAGTAATATAAAATACACTCAATGTGATGCTTACTTATTTTTCCCCATTTTGCAGTAGGGCAGATTCCAGTTGGACTTGTGCAAAATGCTTCCCAGCCAAGCTTTAAGCTCCTTGGCCCTGCGAGGAAAAGAAATCAGTAACGATTAAAGTCTCTGGAAGACATTTGTTGCATACTGACAAGCCATTACTCTGCAGTAAAACACAATAAATGCAAAGTATACATTTATCATGAGTGAAAAATGACTTAAAACTTTTAGCATCTCTAATCCTTACACAAAGATGAACAAAGTTAAAGCAGTAGTGCCTTCTTTATGCTGTAATCTAAATCCCCAGACATCAGTCATGTAAGTGTTTGCATGAGGCTCCACGTACCTTTCCAAGCAGCAGGTAGGCAGTGATGTTAGTCCTTTACACATAGCAGCAGATAGAGGTGGTGTTTCAGTAGCTTGATGGTGAAATATTCCCTTAGTAAAGACTCAGTAGGAAGCGAGACTGTGTCTAAACAGAGGCAAAACAGAGTTTTATAGTCCTTCCTCCACTGCCTCTGATGTGTCATCAGCCTTCTCAGCCAATCACCGAAAGGTAGAGAGAGGGAGCAAGAGAAAGAGAGTGAGAGAACACCAGACAGATGGAAAACGAGGGAGGATATGCAAGGACAAGGCTGGGAAATTACTGTCAAACGATCAAAGCCACCGCTATTCAGTGCTATGTTTTTCTAGCGTGTCCCTGAAAACATGCCACAGTGACAAATGATTTACCCAAATAGAAACTAAACATCGATCCTGTATGTAGAGTATATGTGAAGGCACTGTATATAGTTAGTGGTGGAAGAAGTACTCAAACCCCTTACCTAAGTAATGCTAAAAATACCACAGTCTAAAATTACTCAGTTACAAGTCCTGCATTGAAAATTTTACCTAAGCAAAAGTAGAAAGTCGGTTGAATGTGACTCTTATGTAGCATCTTTGTCTTTAATATGTCTTAAAGTTGAGTACTGTCTTAGCTTTTTGTTACAAATTTTAGCCTCATTTTTTTTCAAGAAACTACAGATTGTTACAAAATTGTCTGCAGTAATTGTCCCCTGTACAAAGGTTTCAGTTAAAGTGTGAGTGATATAACTCTGCTCTAATAACATCCGGCATTGTCAGATCACTTCTCGACAGCTCCTTTGCTTTTTTTTTTTGTCATCCCTGGTTCATTGTCCTGCTTTGCACAAAAGGGGACATACGTAACTGACTATATGGGCAGGTTGATAGAACACCTTTCTTGTTGTAAGGACAATAACCCTTTATGGATTTGCTAAAGGTGTTCATTCTAGGGAATGATGGGAAGGAAATGTGGTGTTCACTCTGTTTAATTACATTACTGTAAGCAGTGAAGTGCTCAACACAATCAAGCTGAAGTGGGGCCATTTCCCATATGGTGAGCTGCAGGGTGATTATTTGCTTGTCATATAATACAGATGAAAGGGACATTAGATAAATCAAAGGCACTACCTGACTTGTCAGACTTATCCAGTCCTACCCCATGACATCATCTTACCATCATTGGTTTGCAAGCAGTATCTCTACATAAATAATTCTCTTCTACACCACACAAGTAATATACTAAAAAAAT